TTATGCATGAAGATTTTTTTTCATTTGGATTTTCATGTCCATTTAATATGCAGATGATATGCTTCTAAGTTTTCTGTTTCTGGGTCACCACCTGTACATTCTTTTCTTACTAAATTGCACACAATACAATGAACCAGATTCCACCCATTTTTATTGTATTTGTTATATAGCTATACAATCTTCTTACTTTAAGGGAGAAATGGACTCTACTTTTGTATGGTTAATTGTATGCATTGTAAATTTCAGAAAAGTAGTTTATTTTTCATATTTAATGAAAATAATAATGGGAAATAAATTCATATTCATATTCAATGCACATTGAGAATATTTAATTTCTATTGTGGTAGGAGGGTGCATTATTTGTTTCTAGCACAATGAATACAACCTACATATTTTCTGGCTCAAAGCAACCTGACTCCGTCCTTATCCCTCTTCCGTGTTATTCAATAACTCTCAAATTTAAATTCAAAAAAGAGTCAAATGAAAAGACATGTACCTGCCACAGTTAAGTCCACTCAGAAAATTTTCAAATCAAACCAATATTCTGACAATGAGTTAAATTAACATAAAGCATCATTTACATGAATGTTGTGAATGTTTCCTTTCCATACTGATAATAGATAATTTAAAAAAAATTACAATTAAATATTACCTTTTTTAGGTTTATTGTCTCTGGGATGAAAACTAGTTCTGTATCTACCTGATATTCTATTCACAATGATGTCTTAGTTCTGGCCAGGATTTCTGAAGTCTACCTTAGATAAAACTCCAGTTTATGTACTTTTGAATGAAGCTTAGTTAGCTGACTGGAGAAAATTGCAGAAAAGGACTTTCATAAATTTTTTAATGTTGAGCTCTTAAAGTTCAGTTTTAAGAATTTACTAACCATCATTCTGGTACAAGATCCTTTGAAAATCTTGCAGAACATAATGGTGTTAAGAGAAATAACAACATGTCAATATAGTTGAAAGAATACAAAAAAAAGGAAAAGGGGTGTGAACTTAGCATCAACTATGGGGATTACTTTTACAGTGGGTATTTCTTTCTATTGTTAATAATAAATATTTGTATGTGCATCCCTAGTATTACATGATGTTGAATTTCATTAAATTTCTTCATCAATTCATGTTTTTAAAATATTTTCAGTTTTTATTAGAAGTGTCCTGTGATAGAGTCAGTTTTGCTGTCTTTATGCAAACTTTTGGTGAATAAACACACAAAATATAGATTTTATCTTAAAAAGAAGTTTTATGGTTACCTAAAATAAAATAAAAATGTGGAAATAAATAGTCACTTTTTTTGGAAGTCATTTTGTTTTGAAGTCATTTGGAAAGGTGGGTTGACTTACTTTTTATAAAATACATGGTACAAACTGGATCACTGTTGTCTCTTTCTCCTAAAATTAGTGCCTTGAATCTTTATACAGTTGGATATACAAGTATTTGGAGCAGTCTTTGTGGTTTCACTCCATCTTGTTGACAAGTAATCATTGTTTGAACAATGTAGTCTCACTGAAGTGAACCACTTTGAAGTGGTTGCTTGTATAAAAAGAGGGTGTGAAGTAGAATCAGATTCCTGCCTATGGTAGTATTTTGATATTTTAGATCATTCTCTATCATTTCTACCTCCCGTTCAGCAAATTATTACTTAATTCAATAATTACTTTGTTTGTGTTTAAAAATATTGAAGCTAGATATTGAGCCAGGCATTTCCATCCATTTTAACTTAAGATGCAGAGTTAAATCCTCCACATTTAAAAAAAATATCAGTCCATACACGTCTGCCCCATTTCTTAAATGAAATTAAGATGTGCACAGTAGTGATGATGGATTCAAGTTATTAAAGCAAATGTTTTACTGTAATGCAGTGAAGTATTATCGTAAGTACCATTTGTTTCTAATTTCCTCTTGATGTGAGGTTGTTATTTGGCACATTCTGCTACTTGCAATCTGTCCTTGCCTATCTTTTTCTTTCCAAATGTAAACTGAGTTTGAAATCAAATCACAGTACTGAAATAACTCTACTGTGACACGACTGTTAAGTTGTCTAACAATTCTAGATGCAGTGAGCTGTCTAACAGAAAACACATGTTGACACCATTGTTTGCTCTATGTGTGTCTTCACTGGCAGAATAAAATTTGTATGTTGACCTTCCAGTGTTGGCAAACAATTATTCTTTCAAGGATATTATTATTAATAATAATCCGAAAGTTCTGCTGTTTGACTCTATTTACTTCTTCTCTCTGTTGTCTGTGTACAATTATTCAGGGCTATCTCCAGGAATTCAAGAAAAGACACAAGCAAAAGCTGGAAATAGCATAAGTGTGTGATAGAAATGTGTCTGTGAATACAAGCTGGTTATTCAAGAATTGAAGAGAATAGTGGATTTTAATTTCCATGTTTACAGTAAGCAAACTGATCTACCTTCATTGCCAAATTTCTAAGTAATCTTGCTGCAAAATGTCATGCAATAAAATTCTTGCAATTTTTTAATATTATATTTCGCTGTAAATGTAAACCAAATGTTTCCATGGAAACTAGATATTTTCCCAATTGTATACAATTTTTCTAGCTTCTTGGTAGGAAAAGAGAGTTCTAATTTAAATTTTATACATTTTGAAGGCAGTTGAGAATTGATACCTAATTTTCTGATAGCATAGCTCAAAGCCACACTTACATACCTTACTGTGTATGTTCAATCTATCTTTTTGCTCTAACAGAAAGAAGTAAGCTGACATAAAATTTATTTTACTGTTAAAAATATTAACCTAAATAGAAGTACAGATGACACCATTATGCAAAGCAGAGAATACAAATTAGTTTATGTGCATCAGGGAAAAAAAATCTCCAATGTCTGGATTTTAATTGTAACCAGTGCTGGATTTCATTGTTGAACAACTAATGATCATTACACCACTTTAAAATATCAGTGGGAGAGTGTCAAAGAAGATGAGTCTTCCATGTTTACAAAAGATTTTTCCTGTGGCACACTGTGTGCCTTTGTGAGTCATTTATCTTGTAGCTTAAACCTGTCATGCTATGAAATATTACAACTGTGATTCTTCATGACAGAATAATGAAACACTGGAGAAAAAGTCCACTCTGAAATGACTTTTCTACAGAATTTTTGACTTGAGAACCTGGGAAGCTGCAGATGAAATAGCTTTTCTTTTCACTCCATCAAAAACTAATCCAGGCCAACGAGTTCCTTTCTACACACTAAATATGCTATTCCATTGTTTGTGGGTTTTTTCTATATTGACCGGGTTTTAGTTTTTTTTTTCTTTTTCCCAAATTGTTCTTTGTTATAAGATCTCATATACTGTATTGGATGCCAAAATAGTTCCTGAAGAGCTTCCATTCAGCAAATATTTGATTGCTATATTTCACACTCAAGGTTTGAGCAATAGAGAAGATTATGGAAGATTTTTTGCTGTTTGCTTTAGGAAAATTACTTTATCTTATGTCAGCAGTTTTCCTGAAGTACTCCTTCATTCTCAAAAAATGTGGTTTGTCTTTTTGTTGTTGTGAATAATCTCTGAGAAATCTACACATTGTGATGTATACTAGTAGGTGAGTTGAAGATGTTATGCGGTGTCTTTTTCCATAGCATTTTTTGGTGACCCTCTTGTCAGCAAGGGATCCCTACATATCAAGAACTGTAAGTGAAAACTCTTTTCATAATGCAATGTCTTCTATCAGGACCCAAAATAACAGAATTATAGGTAATTATTTTAAAATTTCAGACTGAGACAAATAATTATATTGAATGCAAAAAAACTTCATTTAAATCAATTGCCAAAATGACTTTGACTTTCTCAATGGTTGTTACTGGAATAATTCTAGTGATGATAGATTAAAGAAAGATCCTAGATCAAAAGAAATATTAACCCCTACACCACTGTACAATTCAAAGGAAGATTTGTATTTTAAAATTTGAGGGTTTGGGTGCAAGGAATACTACTTCTGACTACTGTAGGAGTAGCACTGGAAAAACAGTATCTAAAATGGAAATATTTCTTTTGGTACTTGTTTCAACGCATCATGTCATTCTCATTTTTGACTGGTAGGTATTTTTTTTACCTTTCTCCTTCAACACACAGGCATTTTTGTTTTCTGTATGCACAGAAGTGGATGAAAAAAATTATTTATTCTACAGGTACCTGAATTGTCAAAATACACTATTTAAATAAAAGAAAAAGAGTAAAGGTCTATCCCAAGATAGGGCAGACAGTCTATCATAATCATATTTCAGAATATGTCACTGAATTCTTGTATATTTTGATGGAAGTGGGAGGACATAAACTTTCCAGTTTATCTAAAACAAATTAGTTATATCAAAAGCACGTGCTTCTAACAGCTAGAAATAAATCAAGTATTGTACAAATGTATTTAATTTTTCCTTAATATTCTGGAGGAATAAGGATAGATTGCCATGACTCAGAAGACAGTACTTTTAAAAATTTATTTATTTTGTAGTAGCCTATGCACCTCTATGCTATCCATAAGAACAAAATGATATTCAGTATGTGGCATACTGCTTACCAAGAAGCCAAAGTGAACAACCATCAACTGCTATCCTAAGTATTGTTTCATAATAAAGTGAGATAAAATAATTCATAAATCCAGAGACATACAACAGTGCTGTATAAGTCCTGTCTTTGTGTGGGACAGAAGACATAGTTAAAATTTAGTCTAGTCAGCAGAAGAAAATGTTACTATGAGAGTAAACTTTTGATGGAAGATCTGGTAATCTACAAAAACCAGGCAGACACATGCTGCTCTAATCTCATTTGTCAGTAAAGAGAAATTCAAAAGATAATGATAAATATGAGCATTTAGAGGAAACAGTGCACTATAAAAATGATAAAAGTGTTAACAGAAGTATCAGTTTAAAACAGTTTTTTCTCATTAATATTTTTTATGTAAAAGCAACCATACAAATCATCCAGAATGTATTCAAGCAACAAAAAGATAGGAATGAGACCAAACCTACTTACCAAATTCCTTAGGAACAGTGATAGAGTAAACACAGTTGTGACCAACACTATAATTCTTGGGGTAGTTTGGTGATAATACAGTCCCTTCAGAGCCTGTTGACCGGCTTCCACAGGGTGCTGGAAAGTGAAGGAAATCAGTTTTTAATAATGTAATATTATATATATTAAAAATCAGTTTAAATTGATTTTTTGTGTGTTGGTATATGATGTTGCAGGAAATTTTATTACACTTCTGCACTGGATTAAATTTTTGCATCCTGTGACATACTGAGAATGTACAGCTTTCTCATATATCAGAAAAGAATTGATGGCACTCTGAAGTTTTCCAGATCAATTTTTTTTCTTTACTATTTATCAACCATCTTAATAAATAAATTATAAACTTTATACACAGTATGCTATTATTTACAGCATACAAAACTATTATTCATTCATATGATGCTTTATACTATAATAAAACATAGATTATCCAGCCCTTCTGCACACTGGTAAATTCTTACTCATGCCAATAGACTCATAATTCAAAATAATATCTACAACTACTGAAATAGGAAAGTCAGGATTTCTTGACTGACCATGATGTACCACTTATTTATATCCCAATTACTTATAACTATATATATAAGGTTATAAGCACACACTTTTCTTTATCACACAAACATCATGTTTATTCTACCATTAACAGCTATAATACTTGATAAAATGGCAGATAAATAACGATGTTATTTACCACAATAATGTATTTTTCTAAGGTTTACAACGAAACTTAATATTTGTCATTATTCAAAACTGTCAAAGCAGAAACAGTGTTATTTCTTCTTTTTCTTCATCAGATATCTGGGTGATTATTCAATGTTAGTGCTTTCCTATGTCTATGACCTGCTTCTCACACATACATAGTGATTTAGGAGTTTGTTGTCTAGACTGTGGCATATCTTTGGAATATTTTTCTAACTGTTTTGGAATATAAAACAATTTTTAGTTAGTTTAGTGTTAACTTATCTATTTAACATATTTATTTCCTGTTGAGACATGAATTTATAAATAAAGTAGTACTCAATGTTTCATTTGCTAAACACATCTGGGATTTTTTTGCAGTATTTTCTCAAAACATTAATATGTTGTGCATTATATTAAATAAGAAAAAGGTGGTTTTCTTACTATTATTGCATAAGATTTTATCTCATTACTTGTCATACTAAATACAAGATATTTCTTAGTGTAGCTACATATCATGTGTTTTAAGACTACTTAATTCACACAAAATATTTGGTGGAGTATACCATGAAAAGAGCACATCTTTAAAATGTAGCGCCTTAAGGTCCCATCACTTTGAGAATGGATTTCTGCAATTTGCATTAACATGGATTCCTTCCAGTACGGTGTAGCTGCAGAGTTTGACAGACCGTACCTGAAACAGGAGCAGACGGCACCTATTGCTCCGGTCTGCATACACAATTTGGAAATGATTTAATGGGTTAGTGTGAAAGTCATGATATTTGAAACATGTCGACAGAAGGGTCTCGACTTTTGCTTGCCACAAGTGTGTACAGATTTGATAGACGTGGCACATATATTAAAGTTAAGCAAATCAGTCAGGGTCCAGAGCAGGACACAGTGGATAGGCACACTGAAACACAAGTGAGCACCAAGACTATCACATGCACACAGAATATAGTTCTGAGGCTAAAAGAATTATCTCAGTGTCTTCCCTCAGTCCACCAGCATGTAAAATATCAGAAATTCATGCTTTCCTTTGAAAACATGTTTAAATAATGGAACTATTGGACTTTTTGCTAAAAAGTAGTAAGAGTATTAGCTGACCCTCATATGCAGAGACTTATTTACCTTGAGTTACCAGAAAAACACAAAGTAGAAAATCTTCACTACTTGAGTGTGGTAGGTAGTTCTGATGAAATCAGATCTGCTTACCATCCTCTAAGTACTCAAGATTTTCTATTCCAGATTTTGGATAAAACAGAAGAGAATATGAAAGAATATAAGCAACAAACGCATTAAAATAAGTGAAATAAGACTGTCAGAAAAGCTTATTACTTATCTCTAACTCCGTTTCCTTACTGTTTATGAGTTGCATAAATAAGCCATTGCAACAAAGACCAATAACACTGTCCCATTCCAGCAGTCATATCACTATTATACTTTCCTAATCTACAGATATAAATAATGTGTAAATTTAAGGTAAAACTATGATTCCACTAAAGTCAAGACCATGAAAACCAAAAGGTACCAAATTTCACCTTTAATGAAACTTGAAGTCATGTCACACAAAAACAATACTTAAAGTTAATAGCTATGTATTTAGTTGTCAAAATACAGCAGACCTTCCTGTAAAGAAAAATAAAGATTTTTTAAAACCCTGATTCTTTCTTATTCTTACAAGCTATGAAACTAATAAAGGTATCTTCTTAATTGTAAAAGAGGGTTTTTACAAAACTGCTAATATGCTTAAACCAGAGCAAAATATATTTACCTATGTATATATCTAGATAAAATATTTCCTGTTTATTGAAAGGTGGTATTATCACAGCTTTTATAAAGAAAAAATCACAGAAATAATTTCACTGACAGATGCATAAAGATCTCTAAAAGGGATTAAACCCAACAATTTTCACAAATTAAAAAAAAAAAAAACAACAAACCAAACCAAACAAACAAAAAAACCCCAAACAAAGAAACACTAAAAACCCCACAAAACCCAAGCCAAACAAAACAAAACAAAACAAACAAACAACCAAACAAAAAAACCCCAAAACAATAACCCACAAAATAAGATCTAGCATATTTAAAAATCTGAGAGTTCTCATTTATATTGAAGTCTGACAAAAATAACTTAAGAGTCTCTAAAAGGTGAAGATAATACCATTTCATTTTACAGTTGATAAAAATTAAAATGTTTATATGACACATTCAAACATCTAAACGTTTTCCCCACACACTGAATTCCATGAAAGAAACATACATCTGCACTGGATTTATAGTGGGCATATATCCGTTCACACAAGTGAATCTGGTACAGAGCTATTCACATAAGAGAAGAGATGGAGTGCAAGTCTGGAAGCAGGATTTCCAGCAGGGATCTTTCAGGTACAAAGACTCTCAACAAGAGGTGTCTGCAGCCTTTGCTACAACGTGTTCAGTACAGTCTGGAGTAAGGTATGAACTTTTTGTCACTCTGACATATGCAACATTTAGTTTGCAGCAAGAACAAAATACCTGCATTAAGTATTTCATAGTAATTTCTTATTTGATCTTCTCTTTCTGGACTTTTTCCCTCTGGCCCTTCTGAGTTTACTTTTTCCCTTACCATCTTATTTTCCAACTGCTTCTATAATGGCTCTTTACCTTCCCAAGAATTCACACTCCTGGATCTCAAAAACAACTAGTATAAAGGAAAGTTGCTTCAAAATGTAAGCACCCAGTTGACCTTTGCAAGCTGAGAAAATGTTTAATCTTAAATCACTAGGTGGTAAACCATTAAGTTCTCGTAGCAGCCAGATTGGCCTGCAAGACATTTCTGAAAGTATTTGTGGGAAGGAAAAGGTTTGCTTGATATTTTAGTAAACTCATAGATTTCACTGAATATATTCCCTTTCTTACCTTTTGGGAAATGTTTACTTTAAAATCCAGAAGTTTCAAGAAGAGGTGATTCTACTCTTACGATGACTAAACATTAATGCTCAGAAATCAAAGATGAACATGAAACCATAGCTACGGTGAATTGAAAATCTTAACCTAATAGAAAAATAAAATATATTTTTGCCTCTGAAAAACACCTAGCATCAAGTTGTAGTTGTTTGGATGGATGAAAAAGTTCCACTACCACCATGCTAGCCATTGACTTTCACTTACTCTTATTGGAACTAAGTAGACCCCATTGCCTTCACTTCAGTTTTATAGTGCAATGATTTATTTAGTTTCCTAAAAAAGTAAAAAACTATAAGTTCTGAAAATCAACTTGTCTAATTATTATGCTAGCATTGAAAAGTCTGCCTACAGTAAAAGGCCTAGCAAACCCATCACATCCGCAAATATAAACTGTTATACAAAAACAAACTAACAGACAAAAAAAAGCAAAAATTGTTGAGAACCATTTCTCTTGGAATGAAAAATATCCTGCAGAATAAAACAAACCAACCAACCAGCATAAAAAAAAAAATGTTCAGGAGTCAAATTATATTTTCTAATGTAATTCTACAATAATATTTCATTATTTTTTAATAATGTTTGCTTAGGCACTGAAGTACTGTATCACTTTATGTATTTATTTATGCTCTAGCTTATTCCAGTTTATTCACAAAAATGTTACCCAGTCTGCTGTCCTTATCCTGCCTTCCAGGGTCAGCAATGGAACAGTAGGGGAAAAAGGGACTTGACTCTGGTAAGAAGTGATAAGAATCAGTGTGTTGATGCATTGCTCACTGTTTCTTTGAAACATTATTAACATTAATGGCAAAAAGTTCCTCTGTCGGCTGAACTTTAATGGTACCTTACCTTGTAAAACAGTATCCCCTGCAACCCTTGAAAAAGCCCTATCACAACAACAACAACGAAGTATCACCCATTTTGTATCTAAATTGGCGAGTTTTTTTATCTGGAAGATTACCTACCTTGATCATTAGTATTCATGCACCTTTGTCAAAGAACTAAACTCTACCCCTTCATGGCAATGCATTAGTAAATGGAGAATACAATATAAAATGCATTACCATCATCAGTCAAACCTTTTATCAAATTTCACCATTCACTAGTTGTAAAAGTAATGTAGATGAAAACTACAGGGGCAAAATTGCCCAGTCGAAAACCAGATCTTTATAATCTATGCTTAATTAGTACTATAAAGTAAAATTTTCTGCACCTCCAGTAAAACAATAGAGGATTAAAAGCCTCTGTTATGTGTTTATTGCTCATGTTTTCCATTGTGCCTTTGCAGTTTAACCAAACGAAAGAACACACAAGGCAAAACTTCAGTAAAAGAAGTGTGAAGAATGGACTACATAAGTATGAGAATCAATCTCAAATATCTTCAACTTTGAAGGAAACTAATATTTTTGCTATGAAATTTTTTTCTGCAACCTGAAGTTTATAATTCTTACTGC